TTTACCTTTTTTCTTTTTATATATTCCTGTTTTTTTTTTTTTTTTCTCCACTTCCCCCAAATCGATCAAAAATCTTTTTTTTGGCTCATTTTTTGAGTCCGGAAGCACCGAGCCGGAGGTAAAGTGGGGGGGGGGGGGGAAGGGGGGCGGCCCCCCCCCCCCCCCCCCCCCTCCTTACATGCCCTCAGACCTGTTGAGCCAGACACATCAAGTCTGTTGATGGAATTGTCTTCTTTAGAATCAGTAGTTTTGATTACAGTGACTTGCAATTGTTTACCATTTTCATATTCGAGGTCGATTTTTCGAAGACATCTCTCATGAAAAGAGGGTCTCAATGGGGTTAACCGATAGGCGTAAAACGGCCAAGATTTAGTCGATAGCCGTAAAAATTGAAAAATTTTAACCGTTAGCCGTAAATAGGGTAAAAAAGAGTTAACCGTAAAAGAAATTGTTCCCTAGATTTGTCATTTTTAAGGAAGGTGATAAAATTCACTTATGGTTGCGTTTTTTTATTCCTCGGCTACTTTGACTCCGTACGCACGTTAGGCCAAGCTCCTTTTAGGTGTTGACCTAGACCTAGGCACCATTTCCGCCGCTCACTCGAAGAACCAAGTTTTTCCCGTAGGGAAAATCTGGCTTCTTGCTGAGGATTAATATTTGTGATTTTAAGGAGGTCGTGCCCTCGAAATACTAGTGAAACAACGCGCAGAGATGTCACTGTTTGTAAAACACGTTGCTGATAAACAACAATTCCCTGTTTTTCTCTGACGCTACGGTAGACATTGCCATGCCTAGTGCCTGTACGGCGTCTTCCCATGCCACCGAAATGCCTTGACCGAGATTGCGTACCTTAGGAAAAAAACTAGCTCGGACCACGTGACCCGGAATGCATTAGCCGCGCGTAATAATGAGGCCTATAATACGGACAAGTCACGGCAGACAGTCGTTCTGTACAGTCCTTTCTGTATCATTAAAAACACTGGACACGGGAATTTTGTTGTTGGCCGTTGTTGTTGGCCCCACAGACACCCCTTTTCCGTTTTTTTCTGAAGGAAGGGGGCGGCTATCTGGAACGGATAATCCATCTTCAAACTGTCCGTCAAAATTGGCGGATAAAGTCGGGCGGATTGTTCATTCAAAATTAAAACCACTCCATTTTCAAATTAAGACGTATTACCTATCTGACGCGAATTATCAAACGGATAACCCGTCTCACACGAATGATCTGTCTCTGGTGTGAAAACGGCCATTTCTGTTATTAATGAATTCGCGCCCTGGCCTTGAGTTGAGCTTTAGCGTGTCTGCTTTTGCTTTTTCACAAATTTTTTTTTTTATATTGACTGTTGACAATCTATGCGTAAAATAATATTAGAAGTGGAATACTGCATGAAGCATGATCTATTAAGTGTCAAAATTTTTCAAAAGAATAGCTTATTTAAATATTTCATCCCGAGATGATCCTAAGACCTTTATTTTGCTTTAAAGTTAGAAAAAATACAGGTTTATTACTATTTAACTCCTTGAAACAAAAGAAATTAATTTTTAACTTTTTTGTTAACCGTAACTGAAAAAACTTAACCGATAGCCGTAAAAGAGCCGAAATTTTAGCCGATAACCGTAAAAGCCACCACCCCATTGAGACCCTTTGGAAAGTGCTGAAAATAGCATTTCGGAGCCTCCAAATCTGAGAATTTTCTGGGGGAGGATACTCCCGACCTCCCTACAAGGCTCGTGCCTTCCGCACTCGCCTGTTAGAAAAAACCTAGCTACGGATTTGATGTGACGAAACATTTTTAAAATACTTACCTCTACCATCTACAGACTCTGAACCCTTCACTGCTTTCTTTATTAGACTTCTTTGGGCCCTAATCGCCCACGGTTGATGCATGTCAGTGATCTCAACACAGTGTAGCTGATCACAAGAAAATAAAAAAAGGCTTGTGTTAAGAAAATATGACTGAGTTAAATTTCCAATTTTTTTTTTTCACGAAAGGACAACGGCAAAGGTAATACTTTAGGTAATAATTTCTCACATTTTCATATCCTAATGTTTCAATATTAATGTTAGCTCTTTTCTTTGGAAACGCGGCGTCAGGAGCAACTCAGTTAATGCACTTTATGATAAAAGTAAACTCTGTATAGAGAAAAGCAAGAAAATAATCAATCAAAGCATGAAAATAAACTTAACAAAAATTAAAGGTAATTTTTGTACGTTCGCAGGCTACGTTGGACAAGCTAAAGATTGATCAATGTGAAATTGCTGGTCGACGGTTTTCCGAGCAGCTCATCGAATGACCAGTCTTAGGCTCGTCAACAAAGACAGCTATGTTCCTGCGCAGATTCACAAACTTTGAAAACATTTGAGTTGTGAAAAATATCGTGGCGTTTAACTATAAAATCATAGATTCTACTTACCACTTTAATACCAAGTCGTCAACCAATTCAATAATATCGTCACGTCTGTTGGTCAAGAAGCAGGGATAGTCTTGAGGTTCCGAGCTCTCTTTGCGATCAGTATCGACGCATGATACATTTTCAGTGAGTTCGTGAGACTTAGCAGTGGTTCATGATGAGATCTGCTAAATTGTTCATAAAGTCATCCTGGCAGCTTGAATTTCCTCAGTAGTTTTCATACTGAAATGCAAGCGATCCGCAATCTTTCAGTGGAGGAGTACCACCTGACAACGATGCCGTTAAAAAAAATTCAAAAATCATGTTCGCCGTATTTGCGCATGGGTGAATAAATTTGAATTATTATTGTATTTTCTCGCAAACATTCGTGAGAATCTATTGTAACGAAAAAGAAGGAAAAAGGCACCTTCACAGAAACGCACGTGAAATATTCAGCCATTAGCATTGCATAAAAGTTGGACCGCGTGAGTGAAATTATGACTGTATGAGGAGTTAAATTAATCCGAGTTTAAGGAACCTAGTTGGCGAAGCGTGTTAAACAAACTTACTTTGGGCGATTTGGTTATTGATTTGAGACTAGTTTGGGCTGTTTCCTTTCGCGTGCATCAGTTCCGATCAGCATTTTACTTCTAAAATAGGGGTTTCACCTGGTTAAAAACTAGAATCATGATTCCCTCATTTGAAGTTGAACCAAGAATTTTGAGGCCCGTCAGGTTATAGCCGGGATGACTGCACATTGCTCAACAGCTTTCTTGAAATAACTTAGTCGTTTTAACAATGAATCAATAAAGTAGTTCACAACCAAAATTACCCGTGATTTTTCCAAGACTAAAGTTCAACTGTGAACGAGAGGAGCAGGAGAAAGAGCGCAAAAGATACTGGCATCCTCGAAAAGAAAAGAACTGCTACGCACCTATGGCGTTCTGGATAGCTGCTGGCGTTTTCATCCGGCTCCCTCTCCTCTCCCCTCTCAGCTGTTCTTTCTCGCACCTCATTAGGTTTCGCGCGCCCAACGTTGTCGCGGAAAGCAAGGTTTTCTGAATTCAAAAGGAAAAAAACCAAGTCATTAAGCGATTTAAGGCTATAATGTACTTGGAATCTGGATCGTGGCCAGAAATCTCGGACATCGAATTTAACTTACTCAAGTACGCACAGGAAGCTACGCCCCTGCTAGCAAAGTTAAGTAAGAGCATTAATGAAAAATACCGAAAAAAGGAGTTCAAGGCCTCTACACGTTGAGATTTTCTGTAGCAATTGCTACCCTCGCGGCTCAAGTCTTCGCGATCGTGATCTTGCCGACGTCATTGCTAATAATGAACTTCCGTAACAGGACGGGAGAGGATCAGAAAGAATACGTCAAACCTTTTTACTCTTGTCCTAACTCTCTCGACGACGGAACTCGAGCGAAACGCTTGCTACGTACGCAGGCTAGAATTTCGAAGAACAAGAGCATAGAAGAGAAAACACCACAAGAATAAGAGCAAGAACGAGGCAAGACCCGTGGGTCTTTTAGGGCGCGATCCATTCAACCAAAAACGGTTCCGACCGGTCCGACAGGGAAAAGTGGTCCACCTCAAAAGGTGGACCAGTTTTTTCGAAACTTTTTCCGGTTGAACCGAACCGATCCATTGAGTTTTGGACCGAGATTTCCGGAAATTTTGGTCCAAGTTTCTTTTCGTTTTAGAGACGATTAGCTGCTTCTCCTTCCCCTCCCCTCACCCCTTCTCCTCCGTCAAATATCAGCAATTGTGATTCCACTGTATTGTTGGACAGCGGCGATAAAAACACGCGCAAGGAACGTTGGGATGGTAGCAAATCCAGCATGGCGGCCGGCCCGATAGCTGAAAGAAATCAAGGTTTGTAAAATAATGGTAGTCTTTACACTACATCCCAATGTTTCAAGTCAAGTATTTTCTTTCGTACGAATACTGAACGATTCAGAAACAAGCGAAGCAAAGTAACTTAAGCTACTCGATTGAAGACGAGGTGGCGCTTTCATTGCCGACATTAGTTGTAGTCGTAAACAAATTTTGATGTATCGCCGTGGCTCTTTAGTCGTAAATCAAAAGAGCGTGTTCCTGTCCGAGGCCTCAAATCTGATAAGCTACTTGATTCCTTATGGTAACCCAATTCGAGGATTCCCAAACGCAAAAGCGGCGGAGTAGTTCGCATCTGAAGTACAAAGAAGAGAGACCAGTTTAGTTTGATTGCCAACCGAAGAAAGCGCAAGTCAGCTAAATCGGTTATAAGGATGGTTTTCAAGTTACTTGACAGCCTGGTGCTAAGACTACCAATGTTTTTTCGCTCTGTTTAGGTACCCGGTAGCTGGAAATTGTTTTCAAAATACTAGATACTTGTACCCCTGGTATCCACGTCCAATAAAAAAAAAAAAAACTCAAAACTCTGAATCTGCAGCACCCTTTTTGGCAGATTTCTTTGCTGTCATCACACAACTATGTTGTCAAAGATCATTGTTTCATTTAATAATAGCAATCATTGGGACTTTGATTTCATTGGAAATACCCATACAGAGTCTTATTATGGCTACATTCAGGTGTTCAAGCATTATATGTATGTATTCTTTTATTCTAACATATCAATGAAGTTGACTGATTTGTTGTTTCTAAGATGCCACAATATATGTTGGAGGACTGGATGAAAAAGTTTCAGAGCCTCTTCTATGGGAACTATTTCTCCAAGCAGGGCCAGTTGGTGAGTTAGAAATACAGTCGACTCTTTCTTAACGGACACCTCTATAAGACGGACACCTCTGTAAAACGGACACTTAGAGTTGGTCCCTGCCTTTCTTTACTAAACTTAGTGCCGGTCCCAAAGGTGTCCGTCTTAGAGAGAGTTGACTGTACACTGCAAAACAAAGACCTGGGGCAGTTTTGAGGGTGTACTTGAATAATAAAAAGCCTGCCTAACCCATTGCATGCATGCAATACAATTCTCATACACTTTTATAATGATCTGGAAATGAGTTACAACTTTGGTACCTGTAGAACTTACATAATGCTCTTTGATGCATTCAACAATAATAATTATCATTTTAATGACTGTTAAGAAAATTGCATGTTAAGTTAGAAGTGCAGAAAAGAATGCTGCTCAATTAAAAAAAACTTTGTACATTGTTCTATTTAAAACTTAATGTAACTGTATGGTATATTATGTACACATCTTACTTTATGCCTGGTATATTCTTTAGTGACTTGTTTAATGCAAACATAATAAGTGGTTAAATTCTCTATTTCTGTCAGTGAATGTCCACATGCCAAAAGATCGCATCACACAGCTTCATCAAGGTTATGGATTTGTTGAATTCCTTGGTGAAGAGGATGCTGATTATGCTATTAAAGTCATGAACATGATCAAAGTTTATGGAAAACCAATCAGAGTGAACAAGGTACATTTGTTATCCTCATTGTACATAATTACATTGTATTTCTGCTGAGTTCATACTAACACCGTAATTACCAAAATATATAATACTGTAAGCGCAAGGACTGTGGAATGCAATGTATATGGCCTCATTTTTTCTTGTCTATTTTAGAAAAAATGGACATTAAAACTCTAAGTTAACTTCTAGTGTGACTCGTGGGACTGCTGCTTTGGAAGACTCAGAGAGCAGTTCTACGTGTAATATATTCAAAAATAGTTGGTTACATTTTGGTCTGCTCCACAGCCGTTCTTTGTTTCATCATTTGTTCTGTTTTAAATCTATCAAGTACCTTCAATTTAAAAGGAATTCTGTTCGAAAATGGTACAAGAGTAAATCAATCAAAGTCAAGCCTCAAATTTTCAGCAAAACCAGTCAAACAAGGATTTTATGACAGTCTTTACTGTCGTGTTGAAGCTGTATGTGAGTTCACACCTGGTGAAGTTATCAGGATTTATCTGCTGCCCTGGGCCAGGTGGTTCAATGCTGGGTTAAGATAACCCAGGGTCAGTGTGAAATTTGAACTTAGATATGAGAGCTTAAAAGGCAAATCCAGTTTAATTCTCTTTGCCTACAATTTGATGATTGGATACTCTAAAAAGAATAGAGAAAATTGTCCGAGAGAGTGTTTTTGATAAAAAGAAACTCGGGTTGAAATGTAACCCTGGGTTAGGGCTAAACGGCGTTCAAACAACTGGGTCCAGAAAGTCAGAAACAAAAATGTAAGGACAAAGACCCCCAAACTGTACTTAAGTTTGATATCATATATATTTTTTCTCATCCTTGGCCATCACTGTGAGTGTTATACTCATCAGGTATTAAGATATTTAATTTTCAACTGATTTGTTTCCAGGCATCAGCACACAATAAGAACCTTGATGTTGGTGCCAATATCTTCATTGGAAATCTTGATCCAGAAATTGATGAGAAGCTGTTATACGACACATTCAGTGCTTTTGGAGTGATCCTTCAAACCCCAAAGGTACCATCAAACGTATAGTATATACCTAATTCAAAAAAAGGTTCCTTCTAGGCAATTGGTCATTGTCAATAATATTGGCCATTGAGTATTTGGGCATACAGATCTCGCAGCAATAAATTGCTTCATTGACCACCAAACAATGGCTTCCATGTGCAGATCTTTATTGAATCAGGTTTATACTCACTCTATCTGTACATGTAATATACAGATTTAGCCAAAGCTAAAAGCGAAGCTGTGTTTTATTCATTTTAAATTTACTGCATACAATGGACTTTAACATTACTGGAAAACCGTAAGACTGAAAAACATAAACTTGAGCCCAGGATGAATTGAATTAAAAGCTAACAACTGGTCACTTTTTGATAATTTAATAAGGGGTGTACTTGATTCATTGTATTCTGGTCAGTGCATAAAGAAATGTGTATATTCAAACTTACAGTCAAACTTACTCTGTAATAACAGTAGCCAGGCTGTTTACAAGGTCACCCCCATCCTTTGTTTCAAAGTGAGGCTACATGTAATCGCAAAGCTACCGTAAAATTCCGAAAATAAGCCCCGGGGCTTGTATTTTTCAAAGGCCCTTTTTAAGGGGCTTATCTATAGACGGAAATTTACGTTTCAAAATCGATTGGGCCAGCCTTATAGCTGGAAGTAAATTTACTGTTTTTGCTTTGTTTTACTTTGTATTTGAGGGCAATTTTCCAGGCACAAGCCCTCAAGGGGGGCTTATATTAATTTTGGAGAGGCGATTTAATGGAGGGTTTTTGTGTTACCAGTTTGGGGGGCTTATTCTTGGAGGGGCTTATTTTCAGAATTTTACGGTATTGATTTAACATCATGATTTATCTTTAAATTTTCATGCAAACAATTATTACTCATTTTTACTGTAGCATCATTTGGAAAGTAAGAGGTTTTGTAACTCGACAAATGGCCTATTGTTTTCCCACTGAAGTGGAATTGGCATAGAGCTTTATTATTTTATTTTTACCAGATTTCTAGATTTAAAGATTATTCATAAAATGCCAAAACATTAATTTATTTATACAACAGTTCGTTCCATAAAATCAATCAATCAATCGATCAATCAAACACTTTATTTAACTTGTAATAAATTGATAGCAAAATCGCTAATGTTGCTATTGTTATTTAAGTAGTACAAAAAGTTTCCATGTTTGCATACATGTAGCCTGATGTAAACATGAGAGGAGTTGGGAGAATTGGAGACAGTTATGCAAACTCGGGACAAAGTCAAGGGTTTGCATAACTGTTGAGAATTCTGGCAACCATTCAAATCACTGCATCTCTCCTAAGTTGAATTTGTCAGATATATAGTGTATGAATTCACAGAATTGCCAACCTCAAAAAGGCAAAAATCTTTGTTTTTTTTTTTAATCTATTTTGTAAGGCTCATAAAAATGTGTTTTGTCCTGTATGGCCTCCTCATCTCCAATTACATTTGTATGGAACTTTACTTGTTTTGACCACTTTTTGATTTCCTGAAGGAGGCAAAGCATTTTAAAAGCAAATTCCTATGCATAGCAGATGTGCACACCATGAAGTTAGTGTTCAGATTGGACCAGCTAAAGTGAAATACACTAAACTTATTTATTATGAAAACACCAATCAAATACCAGGTGAGCTTTCGCGTGAAAACTTGGTATCTTCACATGTGAAAATAACATGTTATCTTCACATGTGAAAATATCACCATTGCTATGGCTACGTAATAAACTGCGCCTTTCACACCAAAAAACTATTAAAGTGAAATGGTTTGGTAGTTCATTGCTGTGCTCACTCGTGAAATATTTTTTAGCAGTCGAAGAGAAATTGTGTATCTCCGCGCAGCCATGTAATATCCTCCATGTATGTACAGTGTTCACACCAGATGTGGTCTTCTTTTTTAGATAATGCGTGATCCTGAAACAGGCAACTCCAAAGGTTTTGCATTCATTAACTTTGCAAGTTTTGAGGCATCGGATGCAGCTATGGAGGCTATGAATGGACAGTACTTGTGCAATCGACCAATCACAATATCTTATGCATTCAAGAAAGAGTCTAAAGGAGAAAGGCATGGATCTGCAGCAGGTACTTGTAAATCAATCATAATGTACAGCAGTCCATAAGTTGTATACTTTACTGTCTTTTAATAAAATAATTAACAATTATTGGACAAGGTTGAGCAAAATATCACATGATTAATTTGTCATTGTTTGCTTCAGCCTTCAGCTTTGGCAAATAAAATTAATGATCTGCGAGACACTGACAAATCACAATATATTGTGTTAGCTGAGTCTATTGTTTTATCATTCAATCACTGAAATTGTTTTTTTTTTATGAATATCTTCTGGAAGCAAAGCAATCCACATTTTCATGCAAGAGTGATTGCAAGAAGGAGAAAAGCTTTCATTTATGCATGAGCAGAATATTACTTACAGCCAAACAAAGTTGGGCAACATTGCACATGAGCAGACCATTATTTATAGGCAGTTATTTGCAGGTCACGTGGTGGGCTTTCGGCCAATAAAAAGGAAGAAAAATGTGCAACAATTGATAATACAGTGTGTCATGTGTATGCTAGAGGTTGAAAAATGCAGGTTAATTAGCAATAAATTATTATTGGATAAAGCTGAGTACAGCTTCGATAAATAGTGAAGAGTAATGCCAGTCAAGGAGAGTCATTATCAATTGAGTCTGTATTTTTTATATCCTCAGGTAAGTTATTCCAAAGTTCTGAGGCAGCAACAGAAAAAGCTCGTTTACCATACGAATTGAGATTAAAATAGGGTTTGACTAATAAATTTCTATTAGAGGATCTAAGATTGCGGCTGGATGTATACAATTGAAGGAGTTCCTGTATATAGATTGGAGCTCGATCATGTAGTACTTTGTATGTAATTAATATAATTTTAAATTCAATACGAAAGGAGACAGGGAGCCAGTGAAGATCCCTCAGGACTAGAGTAATTAGATTCATGTTATTTCTAAAAGTCACATGTATAGTATAATATTCTCATATTATTCTGAGCACACTGTGCGACATACAAAGCATAATTATGGAGGTTTGACATTATTTTGAGGCCATGTTTTATCATTGTATCAATAAGTTGTTCAAATTGCATTTAAACACCAGTGGCATCAAAATTAATGAGTGTTTCCATGGCATGACAATAGGACTCTCTGATAGCCCTGAGCTACTTGTAATGGAGTGACTTGTTGGACTAGCATGTACAGAATATGTTGAAATAAATTTGTATTGGTAAAATGGGGTTGGTAGGCCTGCATGACTGCTCCAGGGTAGTTAACTTCAGCAGCAGCTTGCCCTTTGGGTTTCCTGTTCAATGTGGCAGTACAGATATATTGTTACCTTAAGAGAGGTGTACATGCTGTTTACATGAACATGTAATTTCTAATTTGCAATATATTATATTTGCTTTCTAAACAGAGCGCCTCTTGGCAGCCCAAAATCCTCTTGCTCAAGCCGACCGACCTCATCAGCTGTTTGCAGATGCACCGCCCACTCCTGTGGCAGCTGCTGTACCCCCAGCACCCCCAGCTGTTATGCCACCTCCAGTAATGACAGTACCAGTACCCAGCACTGTACCCAGTATGCCTCCTATGCCGGTATCAGGACCCCCAATGCCACCTGTTCCACCAGGCATGCCTCCTCCAGGTAACAGCTGTCAACTGTTAATTTTCTTTGTATATACAAAACCCTTTTATTTCCAGCAGTTCACTACTTTCTACTTTATTTTATTTATTATACACTTACAATGTACCATACAGTGTACTGCCAGAGAGAAAAAAAGTAAGTCAGAACATTCAGCTGTAATGTTATTTGCTTTGATTTTTTCTGGAATTGTAACTGTAGCATTTTTGGCTAGATTATCATAAAACTATAACACTTCCATCGACACAATAATAGACCAATTTCATTTAATTCATTGGCTACGAGGCTTGGAGAAATAAAACAGAAACTGCTGAGCTTCAACATGATTTCATTTCTTTTGTTCAGCCAAGCCTCGTAGCCAAATATGAATTTTAATATATCGCAATTGGTCTTTTTTTTCTTTTTACCACATAGGTATGCCTCCTCCTGGAATGATGCCACCACCTGGTTTCCCGCCACCTGGAATGTTTCCACCCAGGATGCCTGGTATTCCACCACCGCCTGGACAGCCTCCTGATCAACATCCTCCCCCACCACCACCAGGTCAAATGCCACCACCTCCTCCCCCCATGGGAGGGCAGTTCCCACCACCACCCCCTCCAAATATGATGCCACCTCAGGTGAGTCTTCTACACACAGCTGTTTTTGTGTTTGTTGTCACGCAATGATCCTTCCCAGGAGTGTTGTGTGACAACACCAAAATGGCTAGGGGAGGGAGTTACGTACAAAATAATTACGTAAAAGTTATCGGGTTAGTCTGTGCTGCTTTATCAGTGTGGGAGGAAAAAATAATTTTGGGAACAAGTGTGGCAACGTGCTGTGATCTGCCTGAGGCCCTAAAGAAAATTCTTAAATGTTAAATGAGTGTTTGGAAAACAGATCATGTTCTTATTTGCATTTTAGTTTGTTTTTTCTTGTTTTTTTTTTTTTTCTGAAATAATTTTTTTTCAGGAGAAATGTTTGACATTTTACACTAAATTTCTGGTCACAATACATAATGTACATGTATGAAACTCCTTGAAATTCATCAAAACTACTCCTCTGCATGTCATAATTTCATATTTCTTCTCAATGTTTGATCCTGTGATGTATTAGTAACACTGTGTTTCATATTTGACATAAAACTACTTGACTCCCGGCTGGCTCTTTGGACAACCAGCTCTTACATTATTTTTGCTTGCCTATGGGGTTGAGTTGCATTCTTGGTATAGTACACTTTATTGTTTGTAAAGCTGACGTGCCTTGGCCCTTGTCCATCTGCTGAGCTTAGGGGTATAGAATGGTAAATGTGAGACTTTGCGAGTCTGTGAGACCCAGGTTTCAAGATTCGAGACTGAGATCGATACTCTCTAAGATGCAAGATCACCCAAAAAAGAGATTTGAGACCCATCAAAAACACTTCTAAAATTTTGAGATTGGGCCAAAATTTTCCGAGACCCACGTTTTTCAAGGAACCATTCTATACCCCTAAGCTTGAAAATTGACTTGCCCGTCAAGAAAGTGTACTTGTCCCAGAAAATCCAGAGAGCACTTGCCCCTGAGGACCTGCTTTAGTGAAGATTTGAATGTAATCTGTAACATTTTCACTTAAATGTTTTTTCCATCAGCCTCCGCTAGGCCATGGTCCTCCCCCCGACCAAGGCGGGATGCCACCCAGACCTCCTATGCCATTCCATCCTCCTCCTGGTGGTAGACCACCCATGATGCGTGATATGGGACCACCTACCGGTAATATACCAAGTTTGTTAAGTTCCGGGCCCCAGCCACTGATGCAGACACCTATCAGAATGCCGCCTGGAGGTGAGTATAGTCTGACAACTTGCTCTCAATAAAGCACAGTGCTTGCTTGCAAGCTTGATTGTGTAAGAGGGAGAAAAAAACCGTTGCTTCTACCAAAGCTCTAATTTTGCACATGTACATATGGCCCCTTGTAAGGGAATCGTGGATTCTGGATTCCATGCAATGGATTCCGGATTCCAGGTACTGGATTCCGGATTCTTTGTCAGTGGAACTGGGATTCTGGATCCCAATCGCTAGTGAGATCTGAGTTCCTAGAGCTGAAGTCCGCATTCCAAAGCCCAAGATTCCGGAAAATTCCACACGAAACATTTCCCTGATTCTGAGTCCACAGGCAAATATTTCTCAGATTCCTGAATCCGGATTCCCTTACATGGCATTAAGGCGATGCAAAAGTCCCTTTTATGTTATATTACACGTGATCTTCTTTTCTGTGAATTATTTTTTGTGTAAATCCTCATAATCAACTCCATCAAAATCTCTCTTTTTCAGGTCCTATGCCTCCTGGTGGACCGCCAAGGTTTCCGCCTCCTCCACCTCCTCACTGATCTGTACCAAAAAGTTGGATCCGTGGTCGTTGACTGTTTTGTCGTTCAAAGAAAAAGGAACAACTTCAACTAAGATAGTATCACGTCGGAATTTTCATGAAAAACAGCTTGGAAGAGAGAAGCAGTGAGGAGAAAAGTGACTTCTTAAGAAGACACAAAATAACTTACAACTTCGACCTTAGACTACGTCGAAACAAAAGCTTGTCCGTCCTTTTATTTCAGAGGACTATAATGGATCCGCTGACAGTGAATGTGAATTAGATAGATCAGCTTGAATTGAGTTTTTTTGTACCAAATTGTACCAATAGACCAATTCCGACGTATTAAAATTCATACTTGGCTGCGAGGCTTGGGGGAATAAAACAAAATAATTATTCACCAGCAGTGAATAATACATCTTTTGTTTTTCCCCCAAATTACGAGCCAAGTATGAATCTTAACATATCGAAAATGGTCTTTTACAAGACGTCACACAGTTACGTGAACCAATCAGGACGCAAGTTACATGCATCGTACATTCACTCAAGGAAAGAGCGGGAATCGTGTTTCGTTTTAAATCTGTTTGGTTGGAATAGTTTCTTACCTCTGACCCTCATTCAAATCTTACATTTCACTTTATGGTAAAATAAATGAAGCCCAAAATTGCCCTTTTTGTTTAATGCTGTAAATATACCTGTTCCTTTGGCTCCCAAAACACAAACCTCCATTAATGGCCTTCATTTTCATTGTTATTACCTCTTTTGGATTTTATATTGGGCTCATTTAAAGTAATGTTAAGACGTAAATACAGACGCGATTTGTCGCTTAATCCTTTTAAAATTCGTTGTGTTTCTTCTCGATGTTAATGCCTCGTTGTCCTGTTCCTGCATGGCGTCTTCCCAGACCTTCTCAGTCAATGCCTTCGGGAACCGGAAGTAGCCGAGATGAACTGCTGGGAGGCAAACTCATTTGGAACACGGCCCGGAACGCATAGGCGACATAGACCGCGCGGAACAATGAGGCCCGGGGACTGGGCTCCGCCTGGACAGCCTCCTGATCAACATCCTCCCCCACCACCACCAGGTCAAATGCCACCACCTCCTCCCCCCATGGGAGGGCAGTTCCCACCACCACCCCCTCCAAATATGATGCCACCTCAGGTGAGTCTTCTACACACAGCTGTTTTTGTGTTTGTTGTCACGCAATGATCCTTCCCAGGAGTGTTGTGTGACAACACCAAAATGGCTAGGGGAGGGAGTTACGTACAAAATAATTACGTAAAAGTTATCGGGTTAGTCTGTGCTGCTTTATCAGTGTGGGAGGAAAAAATAATTTTGGGAACAAGTGTGGCAACGTGCTGTGATCTGCCTGAGGCCCTAAAGAAAATTCTTAAATGTTAAATGAGTGTTTGGAAAACAGATCATGTTCTTATTTGCATTTTAGTTTGTTTTTTCTTGTTTTTTTTTTTTTTCTGAAATAATTTTTTTTCAGGAGAAATGTTTGACATTTTACACTAAATTTCTGGTCACAATACATAATGTACATGTATGAAACTCCTTGAAATTCATCAAAACTACTCCTCTGCATGTCATAATTTCATATTTCTTCTCAATGTTTGATCCTGTGATGTATTAGTAACACTGTGTTTCATATTTGACATAAAACTACTTGACTCCCGGCTGGCTCTTTGGACAACCAGCTCTTACATTATTTTTGCTTGCCTATGGGGTTGAGTTGCATTCTTGGTATAGTACACTTTATTGTTTGTAAAGCTGACGTGCCTTGGCCCTTGTCCATCTGCTGAGCTTAGGGGTATAGAATGGTAAATGTGAGACTTTGCGAGTCTGTGAGACCCAGGTTTCAAGATTCGAGACTGAGATCGATACTCTCTAAGATGCAAGATCACCCAAAAAAGAGATTTGAGACCCATCAAAAACACTTCTAAAATTTTGAGATTGGGCCAAAATTTTCCGAGACCCACGTTTTTCAAGGAACCATTCTATACCCCTAAGCTTGAAAATTGACTTGCCCGTCAAGAAAGTGTACTTGTCCCAGAAAATCCAGAGAGCACTTGCCCCTGAGGACCTGCTTTAGTGAAGATTTGAATGTAATCTGTAACATTTTCACTTAAATGTTTTTTCCATCAGCCTCCGCTAGGCCATGGTCCTCCCCCCGACCAAGGCGGGATGCCACCCAGACCTCCTATGCCATTCCATCCTCCTCCTGGTGGTAGACCACCCATGATGCGTGATATGGGACCACCTACCGGTAATATACCAAGTTTGTTAAGTTCCGGGCCCCAGCC